AAGAGTATGCTTTTCCACTGCTGGTTGGAGTGTAGACTGGTACAACCAACCCAGAAATCAGTATGGAGATTCCCTTAAAAACTAGCATTACAGGTCCCATTCAACTCAGCTATTCCTCTTCTGGGTAGCTTCCCAGAAGAATTAAAACCATCATACTACAGCAATATAGTGCACCCCTGTTTATAGCAGCACAATTTGTAATAGCTAAGTCTTGGAAACAACCCAAATACCCATCAAATGAGGAATGCATTTAAAAAAAGATTTTTTTTATATATAGCAGAGTACTCCTCAGCCACAAAGAAGGATCAACTAGAGACTTTATAGGTAAATGAATGCAACTCAAGACCATACTCACAAGTGAAATAAATATGTGTAAATATTGTATTGTCTCACCAGTATGACAAACTGAGCAAGTAAACGAGGTCCAAAATGTACAACAGATATTGTGAGTTGGAAAAAGAAACATAATGAAAATATGGGAGAGGAATATGAACAGATAATCACAGAGAAATGAATGGCCATTAAACAAATGGAAATATTCTCTGTGTGTGTGTGTCTGTCTGTCTGTCTGTCTGTCTGCCTGTGTCTCTGTCTCTGTCTCTGTCTCTGTCTGTCTCTGTCTCTCTGTCCCTCTCTCTCTCTGCTAGGGATCAAAGCCAGGGCTTCACACATGCTAAGCATGTGCTGTCTGTTCCACTGAGCCACCCTCCAGACTATATGTATTTGTTGCACAAAAAGCTCATGTTTTTCATGTTGTAGTTGTTTAATCACATTTTTTTCCATACTGTGGGGTCTCAAAAAGTTACACACTTTATTTTATTCTGCTGGTGACATCAACAATGTTGCTAAGCCATGCTGCTTATGATAAAAAAAAAAAGACCCCAAACTGGTCAACCATCACTGAAAGAGGAGGAGGACATAAGAGGGATCTACAGAGATCTGATGCAAACACCATACTTTGGAGCTTCCATAAGTACCCAGACCTTGGAAAGGACACATTTTTCCTTCACTCAAAAGCTGCTGGAGTCAAAAGCTCTACAATGTAAGGTGTTAATCAGGTTGTTCAGATTAGCACTAAACAAGATGACTATGTATGGGAATGCTCTCTGTAAATTCTAAACAGCCTATGCTATTTTTCATAATTGACATCTAACCTGCCGCATGACTCACAAGTACTCTATTTTAACCATCCTTTGAGTTGTATGTAAACAATATTTTGCATTCAATTACACTAACACATTTTGATGACTAGCAAAGTAGGAAACTTACTCATTACCCGATGCAGTAAATTTGTAGCTCAAATAAATTTTATCTATAATTTTCCAAACCACTATGAAAAGTTAAATTGATCATTTTTTATGTAATAAAACACAGTATGGGATTATATAAAAACTAAAAAAAAAAAAATTCAAACATTCACTGGTTTCTAAGATAATGTCTAGGAAAAGACAAAATTTATATAACTTAACAATCAGAGGCTGGGGAGATAGCTCAGTGGTCTAAGCATCTCCCTGGCAAGTGCAGAGACCCACATTGATCCCCAGTATCACATGTCGTGCCAGCCACCAAAACCAGGTATGGTGGCACAAGCCTGTAATCCCAGTGCTGGGGAGATTGAGACAGGAGGATCACTACAAATCCGACCTTCTTAGCAAGACCCTATATCAAATAAACTAAATAAATGATTAACAATCAGAATTTTCCCAAACAAAAACTAATTCTCAGTGTAAATCTCAGTGGAAAAAAAAATCACTGTTAATGGATAAAGATGAGACAAAACTTAACCAAAATGCAAGTATGGGTGTGACAGAAAATAACAAAGAATGGTATTGAAAAATACTGAAAAAGAAAATACCAATGTAACATAATACAACACAAACTTAGTACTTCATCTCTTTATGAAAATAGCTGTGAAAGGAATGGGCTAATCTTAAGACCATTATCTTGAGGCCACTATCTCCATTGGCAAAAGAATGGGGCCAGCAGACCCCAATTCAGTAGGGACAGCATAGCATGGAACATACTTTTCAGTTATCTTACAGCACTACTTCTTTTGCAAGATCATAAAAATGCATTGCACAACCCCAACCCTGTACAAGCTTCTTACTTTGCTTGCTCACTTGTCTATCTGTCTGTCTGCCTGTCTGTCTGTCTGTCCCTCTCTCGCTCTCTCTCTCTCTCCCCCTTCCTTCTTTCCTTCCTTCCTTCCCTCCCTCACTCCCTCTTTCTTTTTGTACTGGGGATTAAACCTGGGAGCTCACATGTCCCAAGCACATCCTCCACCACTAACCTACCCTGGCCACTCCCAGTTCCTAAAACTGTTAGAAGCATCCATGAGACCACACCTGTGAAGAGTGCTGCTCTGAGGCACCCAGAAGGCCCTTGCAGGACACCCACCCCCACCTGCATCAGAACAGAAGGGAGACTTTATATAGAAATGTGCATGATCTTCCTGCATTCTTGGAATGTTTATATCATGTATCTCTAAATCTATAACCAATAATAAAATGAAAGATGCTTACTAGTTTTAATTAAACTCTGTCATACATCAGTTATAGGGCACATACATTAGTTTCACTTCTGATACCAGGGAAAATGAAAACAGGATTGGTGGGATGGAGTGCAGGTGGGTCTTCCTTAAAGAAAACAAACAGAGGCAGACGTTTGATGCAAATGTAATCAGAAGTTCATGCCTGTTGCTATCTTAGTGAAGGGCAATATGTGCAAGTCTCATGGTATTTGCCAGAATTTCCTGTATGTTTTAAGTACCTAATTTTTAAAAAATTAAATGCTGGTACTATTCCAAAAGAAAACCTATACAAGATCACTGTGACCTCCCACCCCGCAAACAGAGCAGCAGCTGGTGGACAGCCTCCAGTGACGTGCAGCTCTGGAGGACACACCTCAGCTGATTTGATTGATGGCCCTCACGCTAGTCACAGAGACACAGGCAGGACCTAGCTGCACACTCGGACAGCCCTACTGAGGGTTCTCGAGAAACAAAAGGTTTAGGCAGAGGTGGAAGGACAGCTCGTGGCTCACATACCTGTGTCACTAGCAGAGCCCGTGGACAAAGCTGGCATGATGCAGGCTGAAGGCGAGGGGCGGCCCTCCACACTCCCACCGCAGAAAGCACAGGCTGCCCCAGCTCAGAGGCCTGCAGCCGCCGTGTCAGCTGAGATATGTGTGTGGCGTGAGCCGATTCTAGAAAGAAAAGAAACACTTGTGTGTATATAATGAATATTACTAAATTGCAACATTCTGTAACTAATTCAAACTTCTTACTTCAACATACTAATGGAGAAAGTATAATTCTACAGAATTTCTTCTATAGACAACATGCAGATACTCGGCGGAAGAGTTTCTGGTGTGAGTGTGTGATTTCTAATTGGAAACATGACTGCTCTTTGTGCACGTGTCAGAGCTTCCTTGAAGATTTTTACATTTGGTTTGGGGGCCACTGATGGGACATATGGAGAACTTTAAGAAGCTTCTGTAAGTCAAAGCTATTCTAAAATTCCTTCCCTCTGTTATCATAATTCTAGCTGCACTTCCAAATGTGTAACAGAGACCATATGAATTGTCAGTGACCTAGAACTAATTGTGCTTTTTAAAGAGCTCATTCTGAGATGAGGACTGCAAAGTTCTCTAACTGAAAACTGCAAATAACCTTGAAAGAAGTTTTACTAACACTAAAGCAAGCTATTATTATAGGCTTATAGAAATGATAATCTAAACTAAGCCAAAGGATCTGAGCTACTAAATAAAGTCTTTTAGTAAAAAATAAGCGTTGATGGATATTAGAAAGTATCAACTTTTTTTTACCATAACTATCCTAAGTTTATCCCAAAATAAGCAGTAAAGACAGTATAGAAGAACAGCTAAAGCACAAGGGCTCAACAATTTGGCTTAATCTCTAATCCTGCTGGATCTACGGTAAGGGTCAAGTTATTTAATCTTATTAAATCTTAATTTCCATACACGCAAATGGAGGTAATAATTTAGAACTATTTAATAATTATATATGCTAAAGCATATATCACAGTATCTTGCATAAAACAGAAGCTGGCTATGTGAAAGGTTGGTTTTCTTAAATTCAGGCAATATAATTTTAAAATTAAAGCACAAAAGAAAGATTAAAGTAAGATTAAAATTTATATTGGCCTAACACCTAGAGGAAGACCATGTGGTTTAAATCTAAGTCACCAGTATCTAATAATAGAAAATACAATCCATCTAGATTTTTGTAGAAATCAGAACATCATGGCATATATAAATTTATTTTTCAGTGAAGCTCCTCAATTCACTAAACAGCAAATTCAGTCATTTAAAAATATGATTTGACAATATTAAGGACAACAAGAAAAACATGCTATAAACACTTGAAAATCTGGCTCATTTCAATTCCGAGTACATTCAAATTGCTGATTCATATTACAGAATAAAGAAAACTGAGCTGGCCAGATTTTCCTTGAAAAAAATCCAACTCTAAAATTTCATTAAAGTCATCAAAAGTAGCTTTTTAATTGTCCAAGTAAAGTCTTTATAAAAAGTTTACAATCAGATAGGCTTTCTTGGACCAGCCTCTGCGATGTCTTGAAATCTGCTTTATATTATCACAAAGACCGACGTAGTAGAAACATGCATACAGATCCATATAGGAGAATGCTAACTAAAAATACGAGGGTGGTTATTTTAAATACCCAATGAATAAGTAACTAAGTTAAAAATTAAAAAGTAAAGACAAAGCAAGGTTTCGTTGCTATCTAGTTGAGAATCTGTTCTCCCTTGTAACTTAAAAAGGCAACTTTGCTTTCATTTCACAAATTATTCTAATAAGCATTAAAATTCAACTAGAAAAAAAAATTCCTTATAAAAGGGTAGACATATTCTTATGCAAATAACCTCACAAATACATATAATTTAAATAATGCACTTAATGAGCAGTTGTTTTTGCTCATATTGAAGAAAAGAAAACCAGTTAAAAGTAGTAAAATCTATGTACTACTGTTAGGGCAACATATATGCACATACATGGGTGGCTACTTAGATGTATGGATGCACTTTAAGGTCTTTATATCATGAGAAAAATCATCATTTACATGGTACTAAATATATATATATATATATATATATATATTTCAATATAGTGCAGTTTAATCCACTTCCTTGATGGCTTAAAAAATTATGTTTCTTCTTTTATAAAACACATACATCACATATGTCAACTTACAGCAAACAAAATTATAATCTGATGCAATTTGGTACAATCTCATTCTATGAATACTAACAAAAATTTTGCATTCCACATCAAAACGTACTTTTGAGCTAATACTGCCACATGAAAGAACTCGGCATTTCTCAAATTTTATTTCCTAATAAGTATTCAAGGTTAAAAATGTGTCCAAAGCTGTATACTTACTACAATGTAATTCTCTTTTTTGTAGACTCAAAGTAATTACCTACGGAGAACATATACAAGTACTATGTATGTGTACGAATTTTTTAATGGTTCAACAGAATGCCAAACAGTAAAATCCTTAAGATTTTATGGAACAAAGTAGCACTGCTAGGTTTAACTTTCCAAGTTAAATTTTTGTGTAATAGTGTTATTTTCTTTGGCTAAATTTATTGAAAATGCTTTGGAATTTTTCAGAACCCAGCCATAATTATTACTGACTGTTGTATGGAATCGATTTACTACAACACAAAAATACCAGCTGTTACAGTATGTCCTGAGAGGGATTACTGAATATTCTTAAATTGAAGTTCAATCCATCTTTCCACAAAAAAAAATAAAGAGAAAGACCCAACGCCAGGAACATAACAGCAGTATCAAGTGCACCTGAAGCATTTACAATTCCCAAAAGAACTATCACAACTCTCCCTTAAAAAGGCTCGGTTTTGAAATTTCATTATTGCAGTTGTACCTTGCTTCTATATATCACACTGTATCATGTTCTTCTGGCGTCGGTCATGTGGAAAGAGTGAACTATGTGGACGTCTCAGCACACAAGGTTCAGTGTCTCCCAGCCCTGACTTGATGCTTCTGGGGCTCTTGTGACACCTAGTGGCCAAGAGCAGAAACGCAAGCACTTGGAACAAGGCTTTGGCTTTCCAGTAAAGCAAAAACTGACGACATTCCTCAGCGAGTGACAGAGTGACCGCAAAATTTTTTATTACTGTGCAGAGACAGTCAGGTAATGCAAATGAACAAGAAGTTGAGTAATTTAAAAACACACTTCCTATTTGGCATAGTATTCAGGAACATAAAAACTTTAACTGTTCTCACAAAGTAACAGTTACGTTAACAGCTTGTGTTATTTCAGTATACCAACTAAAGATCATTTCCAAAATACAAGAGTAAACTTTTAAATATAAATTTAATATAATTTTTAAAGCTCAACTTGAAAGACTCATTAGTGTATTAGCCAATGCAAGCAGTAGCTGATATCTGTTAACACTGTTTGAATCTTCATAAATTGTGTAATATGAAGGAGCCCCATAGACCTACATGGCAAAAGGCTGCTCACATAAAATGGTGTTTATATCTTTTCCATTTGCAGTTCTCAAAATGTGTGGTCGATACACTCCTAGGGGCCTCCAGCACCCTTCCGAGGGGCTCATAAGGTCAAATTACTCTGAGAAAGTATTGAGGTGTTATTTGTCTTTGGCACCAACTCTGAGAAGCAACAGTGGGTCAGACCACAGGCACCTTGGCCACTGTGTGTGAATCAAGAATGGCACTAGCTTGCAGCGCCTCCTCATCGTGCTTGTCCTCGCCCCCACCCCCAAGCACGGAGGGGACACACTTGCGAGTAACACTAATAGCTCCCGGGACTCCTGACTGCCCATCCTTTCAGTGGTTTCTGTGCTCAAGTGGAAAGCACAGGTACAACACTGTGTGGGAACACAGCAAAGGCCAACTTGCAGCACGTCCTCAAGCAATGAGCTCAGCTATGAATGAATCAGTGCAAGGGAGAGCCATTGTTCGTAAGAGAACAGATGAAAGGTAAATTTCAGGCCTGGGTATTGGCCAACATTGTCTTGAAAATGAATGAAGAGAGTTTATGACTTCAAGAGCAACTACCAAGGCTATGTGTTACTGGTGATAAAACACGAGCGTCTGAGCAAAACACAGAACTCTGCTACCAAACAGACTAAGAAAGTGCCTGTTTAATATCCCAATATGTGGCCAGCTCCCAGCTTCTCAAAGCTCTACTTCCCTTCTAGCTGAAGGCTACCTCATTATTTCACTTACAGAAGACAGAATAGCTGAAAATGAGTGCACAGCCCTTTAGGCAGGCCTCTGTGAGCAGCGCATCCCAGCTCTGCCTCACCAACTCGGTGATCTCACCCAAGCTGCTTCACAAGACGAGATGAACTGCGGAAGCTACTAATGTCTACAGCAAGCAGCCAACAGGTGCCAGCTCTCATGAACAACTCCATCTGATTTCCACCTCACCTCCTCTAATCTAGCCAATTTCCCAGAGGTCCTCTGATGAAGAGAATGTGCACTGTGGTAGGAAACAGCCCTGCATTTAGAATTGAGCCCTCCCTCTTACCATATCACAACTTACAAGGAAAGAGACCTTGGGAAGCCACACAAAATAATTTTAAAATATACATTAGATTTATGCATTTTATATGTATTACATATAATACATCATGAATAATGTCAGAGATAACTATCATCAATTGAGGACAATTTCCCAGACATGAGGTTAAAAACACAGTATGTGTAATAATAATAATCTCATTTTTTAAACACTATTATCATGTTCTACAGATGAGGAAACTGGTGACAGCTCTGGTACGTGACAGAAACTGGCAGGCAGCTTGGCCTACACCAGCAGACAGACAGGATTCTACAGTGAGCAGCGCGAATTCAGAGCTCACACGGCTAATCACAGCACACAGCGCTGCCCTAAATAGTCTACATAACTTCCCTGGCTGTCAAACACAGACAGTGGCTCTGCCTCACATGTTCTTCTGGGGGTTAACCAAGTTACACAAGGTCTTCAGACCTTAGCTCTTCCTTTCCCTCAGCTGTTCCCTCAGTACCTTTGTTTAAGTTTATCTTATTTAAAATGAAAAAAAATATGCACTTCATGTCCACCTCATCTGGTTTGTTCCTACAGCACCTTCATGTCATGTCTTTTCCAACACATCCCAAGTGTTGAGTAGCTTCCAAAAAAGTATCC